TTTTTCCCCTACTGCGATATAGGTCTAGCCTAGGCCTAGTTGAGAACCACTGTCACAGATGGACTGTTGAACTCACCATCACTGCAAACATTCGAAGCAATCAATGTCCTTAACAACTGCTGTAAACTACTACTACTACTAAACTAGGCATAGCTTCCAACGTTTCTGTCGACTCTTGATAATACTAGTAATAGTACTAACACCATCCCGACGTTCATTTTATGTATATCTTCTTCTTCTGCCATTACTAATTAACATCAATAACAAGGGTAATGCATTCATCATTGAGAAAAACTAGCCCTATCTACTTCTAGTGGATCAGAATCGTCTGCAGAATGAAGAAAATTCAAAGAACCCCGTGAAACACAGTAGATTGTTGTTGTGTTGAAATCTCTGCGCATGCGCAGATCCATCCATGCTACATCTCGGGAGCTTTACCAGCCTCAGCGAGGCTGGTAAAGATTACCGAGACGTTCCAAGATTTTACAAGGATATTACACGGAGGTACTTTCAAACGTGCCGTAAAATGTTACTTTTGGTTACATTTTGTTACATTTGGTAAGATTTTTGTACGTGTGAATCGGGTATAAGCCTATAGTATCTACTTTACACACAGTACAATTTTAGTCTGCACTGTTTTACAACATTGTGAACTATTATTATAAGAATTCAATGAATATTTTTATGAATTTGAATTTGGAGATGAAGAATACATCATCTTTGTCGAAGGTCCTGTTAACAACATGTTATTAATATTATTCTTATTGTTAATTGTGCTTGTACTGTATAGCGCATACTGCTAGAACCACTGCAGTACTTGCACTTTCCAGAAAATTGGAGAGAAAAATGAAAAAGACAGCAATTTAAAGGCAGATTTGCCAGAAAAGAGTCAAAAGAAAAAGATGAAAAAGGAAGAAAACTATCTAAATGTTTGTGAAAGAGGAATGCCTTCAGTGGAGCATTCAAAGGGCCACAGACGGCCCGGGCTCCAAAACTTTTTGAAAATAATTTAAAAAAGAAGAAAATTCTACTCAAATTTTGAGTTTAAAAAAGTGCCATTTCCGGTCATCTAGAGGTGCTATAAATTTTCTTACCTCAGCCACAACATGGTGGGGCTGAGGAAGTATAGACCCTTCGTCTGTAAAATTCCTCTCTGGGCCCCCTTTATTTCAAATTCTTGGATCCGCCAATGGTCTTGAGAAGGGACTTGAAGGAACTGATAGAAGGAACAATTCTTTCTCGCCGCACACCATATCTCCCTCTTCATCATGACTCGAATTCACGTGAAATATATTGTCTTGTTGGTGAAAAAGAAACTATACGGTTTGGAAAACGTATGGTATATAGTTTGGAAAATGTATGGTATATAAACAAAATGGTGATGTAACTTCTGCTGCGAAAACCTATTTTCTTTAAATAAAAAATGCAGTTGTAATGTGGGCAGGCTGTCTGGGCACTCATTAAAAATGTGGTTAAAAATTTATTATTTTGTGTTTATCATAAGAAACATGGCCTTACATACAGAGATGATTTCACTTTGTTGTTTTATTTTTGAGAGAGAAATCAAATTCTGAATTATTATGAACTGACCTTGGTATTAATACAGATGACAATTAATAAGTTGGCTTTTAAGCCCATGTCATTCTCTGGACTTGCTTTTGCTCAATGTATTATAATATTATTGGTTTTTTGTTAGTCGGTGAGAATAAATATGCTTTAATAAAATATAGTACCAAAACACATCACTTTTCAAGACTTGTTGATAGACATTCAAATCATTATTCTTATTGTGGTATGTACAATTGCAGAGTTTTCATTTTCGATTACAGTTGGTAATTTATTCAGGAAGCCATCATTTCAAATTCTTTAACAGGTACCTGGATTAATCAACTACTGTGAACACCTGATTTGTCCAGGGAAGTATCTTACTCAGTACCTGTAGGCTACTCATATTACGTTTCATTGCAGATTTTTCTGTTAGTTTTTCTTGTCTTGGAATGATTGTGCATTGTGTATTAACTTTTATATTGTCACTCTGATTAAATTTGAATGTAGAATTGTATTAAATTGTATTTGTATGAATGAACAATTATGCTTTGATGCATGGATGTTAACGTGTGTACTGTACAGTATGGTACAGTACTGCAATACACAGAATATAAATTTCCTATTTTGTTGTTTGTTTGTAATATTTCTTGTTTTGTGTTATTATTGTTATTGATTTTGTATTCGTCCCGTATTAATATTATATTTAGTTAGTTCTTTATATTAATTGTTAAATTTCTTTACTATAACAAGGAGGTATTAAATAAACATACTAATTACCGTATCAGCATCCAAAGGTTCACAGATAATTCTCAGATAAGATGAGATAATACATACTCCTAGTATTGAAATGCACACTATCATGTCAGGATTCAATATTTCAACATTAATTATGTCAGCATCAGGAATTATCAACACAGATTTGGAAATATAAACTGAATACTATATGCTACAAAACCAATTGATTAATTAAACAAATATTTTTTTGTAACTTTGTCGATATTTATTCTGTCCAACAAAGTCTTTTTATAGGAATGACCAAATGTAAAAATGCTGATAGAGTTGAAGGCTGTTGGAAATTACTGATTCACTGCACAAGTGTAATGCAACAATTCATCATGTCAACACACATCTGTATCAGTGTAGTTAGGTTAAAATCACATCCTTATACCTTTGTGGTGATATTGATTGTCATACTTTTTCTCTTGTTATTTGCATAAAAATAATAACTTTTTTCCACATGTGTCAGACAATACTACTACTGTATTTACAGGTTTGATATATCAACACAGCAGTAGAAAATTTTACAAACCTTAATTGAAAAAAAAAAAATAGTTGGTATCGTGTTTGTCTCTCACATTAACATGTTCTGTTCTGTTCCTTATTCTTATGTACACTATAGCCTGGTTCACGTCGAACTTTATCTAGATATACCCGTCTTGAGACATGATACGATAATCCCCTAACTGCGTTCGATGCCAAGTTAGAGCCAGATAAACAGCCAGCCAGTTTCAGGCTGTCGACGTCACATGGTGAAGGCTTGTTTAATAAAACATCTACTGTATTTTACGAACCTCTAGTACCAAGTGGTATTCGTTCAAAAAAAATTGTAAACTACTGTAGAGAAGGTGTGAGCTTCCACTACCTAACCTAGCCGACCAATACGAACCAACGACAGTGCAACAGCGTGTTCTATCGCAATCTAAGTAGATTCTCTAGGCCCTAGCTAAATTGACCTTCGATAAAAAACGAATTATTTTAGTCGCTAACTAGCATTCTTCCATTTAACAGAATATTGTTTTAATTTTCATTAAAACGTCTGTATACTTTATGGACCTTTCTGTCCTGTTTTGTAGTTTTTAGATCACTCAATTGTGTTGTTTACATGCACTTCGCGAAAAATCTAGCTTCGCGGTGTCCAATAAGTTGCTGACTTCCACACACTTTTTTATTTCATCATCGTAAACATGTGCGCTCATTTTAACGACTGGCGTTGGTGGTAGTTCGTTGAAACTGAATTAATAGCGACTATTATAGCAGAAATGGAAAAGATTGAATTGTCAATAAATACAATATTACAAATAATTTCTGAAAACCAGACTAATGAGACTATTTCGATGCTGTTGTTAGCATTGTTGGAGTACGTTGTTGCCAGCCAGGAAATGATAATGGTGGTACAATACAACGAAAAGAAAGTCGTCATCTGTCAAACTGCCCATGCGTAAGCTTTGTATCATGTGGTATTCCCAATGCCTACAACTTGGTTTGTGATGATGCTTCGCACGGAGGCTGCGAGTAATAATTAGTTAGGCATGGAGACCTTATATAAAAACTTTTATTCAAAAACAATAGTTCAACTAATACAAATTACTTTACAGTTTCCTTAAAAATTTTATTTCTCAATGGTGTTTTTTCGCGCAAGTCAGTTCGAATGAATGTTGTGGTTAGATAAGATGTCAAAATCGAGCAACCAGAGCGAACTTGGGCCGGCTGAGGTTCTGCTTACGATCAGATAAAAAGTTGGGTCGGCCCAGGGCCGCATTACGGGACCTGAGCTAACCCAAAAGTCGGATTATCTTTAGGTCGGCTCAGGGCGGGCTTAACGTTTATTGATTGTTCACACTTAAAAATTGGCGGCCCTGAGGCGGCCCTGGGCCGACGTAACTTTCAAGTGTGATTGGGCTCTTAGATTTCTCAAGTAGGACACATTCTGAAAGTATACTCTATATTAAATTAGGCGTGAAGTCTGTCTCTTATACACAATACAACAAGGCTGGCTTAGATGCCTACGTTACGTAATTGTGTCCTTGTAATCCGAGCCGACTTTACCGTTAAGCAAGTTAATTTACCGTTATTCTAGTAAAGTTTCACTTAAGTGACTTAATTCCATTATCTAGCTATAATTGAGTAGTTCACGTCGAACTTTTAACTAGTTAAGTGAATCTATATCTAGATAAAAGTTCGACGTGAACCAGGCTTATTACTTTTTCACAAACCTTTGATTAGTTTTCATGAACTAAGTACTATAAACAAAGGTTTAGATATTCATTAACTTCCTTGTTATTGTCAAGTAATATTTTTCCACCATTTGATGTTTTTTTTTATGTTTTGTGTTTCAAAATTTAGCTATAGTTCGCCCAATAAAATACATTTGTTGACTCAAACTTTTTAGTACAATTGTTTTGTTCCAATGGAATTTGTTTTTATTGTTGTTTTGAAAAAATATTTACCAATTTGAATTCTTTCTGTTTCAGATATTTGGAATTGACTATGGTTCTGCTAACAACATAATAACAGAATGGTTGTTTCAACTCTTTTGTTTTCTATTTCTGAAAGTGAAAACTACATTTCCTGAGTAGCATCTTGTATCCATAAAAACATCCTACAAAACTGGTTCTGATATTGGAATAATATAATGCCATAAGAAGTAAAGTTTCAAGGAAATATAGACCTAAGGATTATATGTGAAATCATGGAGCAACTGGCATACGTGAAAGCCAAATACCAGTATGAATACCAATCACATTCGGGAGAACCCCGGAGGATGCAGCCCGGGGATCAATTTATCCTGATAAAAAAATCAAACGAAGACTGGTGGTATGTCCAGCAGAAAGGGGATCCCAAAGGGGTGTACTTGCCAGCAACATATTTAGAGGAAATTGTAAATAGTAACAGAGAAGGTATTTCAAATCCCAAGGAACGAATGTCATCTTTCGGAAATAACAGAGCCTCCTTGCGAAGCCCAATACAGGTTAACAGCTTTGAAAATGTAATTGATTCTATGTCAAAAATGAAAACAGAGGAAGAACCTACCTATATGAACTATAGACGAAGCAACTCAACAGAGGATAATGAGAATTGCCATACTGACAATAAAAACCGAACTGTAAGTATAACTTGTTTTTTTAGATGTGCTGCTAGCTATTAGATTGTTTGATAAAATGTATTGTACTCATCAGGAATGTAAGACCCTCCAATTTTTTTCTGAGATACAGTACTAAGTTATCATATGAAGCTAAGCTGCCCTCTTAAAGCCCAATCACACTTATTAGGCCGGCCCAGGGTCACCTTAAATTACGGCCGACTCAACTTCATTTCCGTTCACAGTTATTGTTTTAAGTTGTTTTAAGTCGGCCCAGGACCGCCTTACGGACGTTCACACTTCTTCTTTTGGGCCGGGTCGATGAATTGCAGGACAGGAAGTTGAGGCGACCGCATTTTGATGGCGGAACGGTAAATCACAACCTAGCATAAACACATGGAATTCGCGCAAAACATGAACCTTTCAAAAATTGTCCTTATACTTTTTCGATTTTTTAAGCGGATAGCATTCTGCTTCATGATTATGGCGACGATAATTCTTATAATAACCAAGGCCTATAATTAGCGCAGCTCGACTTTACTCTGTGCAAAGTCAGACTCGCGATTTCGAAAGTCCATACTGTATATTGTAAACTGTCTATAGGCCTATATTGCTGTCAATGTTTGGCCACAGACCGGAGACACTGATTGTGAATAAGTAGCATCGAGATCTATCTATTTGGCAATTAATAATTATTTTCATATTAGGTTTATTCACAAACAATTTTTGACGCTTTTTAGAACCAGGTTCGCTCATAACAAAAACAAACGTTTATGTTTTTTTCACGTGAGTAGCTTCACGAACGTCGACACAAAATGCACGTGGTTGGTGAGGATGACGTTCACAGACCACTATACAGTGTTATAATTTTAGAATATAAACTTGTTAAATTAATGTGTGCTATATGTTTCTTGAGCTTGTAATAGGCCAATATATTTTTTATCTACTGGAATTCTTTAACTGTAGAAAAGAAAGTCGTCATCTGTCAAACTGCCCATGCATAAGCTTTGTATCACGTGGTATTCCCAATGCCTACAACTTGGTTTGTGATGATGCTTCGCACGGAGGCTGCGAGTAATAATTAGTTAGGCATGGAGACCTTATATAAAAACTTTTATTCAAAAACAATAGTTCAACTAATACAAATTACTTTACAGTTTCCTTAAAAATTTTATTTCTCAATGGTGTTTTTTCGCGCAAGTCAGTTCGAATGAATGTTGTGGTTAGATAAGATGTCAAAATCGAGCAACCAGAGCGAACTTGGGCCGGCTGAGGTTCTGCTTACGATCAGATAAAAAGTTGGGTCGGCCCAGGGCCGCATTACGGGACCTGAGCTAACCCAAAAGTCGGATTATCTTTAGGTCGGCTCAGGGCGGGCTTAACGTTTATTGATTGTTCACACTTAAAAATTGGCGGCCCTGAGGCGGCCCTGGGCCGACGTAACTTTCAAGTGTGATTGGGCTCTTAGATTTCTCAAGTAGGACACATTCTGAAAGTATACTCTATATTAAATTAGGCGTGAAGTATAGTAATCTATTTATTAACAGAGGTGGATTCAAAGTGGCCCAGCCAGTCACCCTTCCCACCATAATTTTTTTTAAACAAAGGAATTATGTGGGAAAATGAAAAGTTCATTCAAAGTTAAGTTTGAGAGTGCTATTTCCAGTCATCTAAAGAGTTGCCTAACACACCTCAGCCCAACCATGGTTGAGTCTGTGACCTCCATCTTTAAAATTCTCTTTCCTACAGTATACCCCTTCCCTATAGCCTGGTTCATGTCGAAGTTAAGCCACTTAACTAAATCTTGAAATTTGATACGATTTATCCCTAGTTTGCGTTCGATGCCTAGTTAGAGCCAGATAAACAGCCAGCTAGCTTTGAGGCCGTGACGTCACAAGTGTGGAAAGGCTTGTTTAATAATGTCTAATGTATTTTATGAACCTCTAGTACCAAAGGGTATTCGTAAAAAAATTTAACAAATTCGTAAACTACTGTAGATTAGTTGTCAGTTTCCACTACCTAGCCTAGCTATCCTCTGCCATTGATATATAGGTCACCAAGTAGTAAGAACCAACCATAAAAACCAAATTATTTTCGCTAGCATTCTCCCATTTAACAAAATATTGTTTTATTTCTTATTAAAACGTCTGTATACTTTATGGACCTTTCTGCCATGTTTTTTTTTTTTTGCAGTTTTTAGATGGCTGAATTGTGTTGTTTACATGCACTTCGCGAAAATCTAGCTTCACGGTGTCAAAAAAAGTTGTTGACTTCCAACACATTTTTTTATATCGTCATCGTAAACATGTGCGTTCATTTTAACGACTGGCGTTGGTGGTAGTTCGTTGAAACTGAATTAATAGCGTCTATTATAGCAGAAATGGAAAAGATTATATTGTCAATAAATAAATACAACAAATCTGATTTTATTATTAAGAAAAATATACATTATCACTTTAAAAAACGTACGCAATTGGACTTTTTAACGTTATTACTTGGTCGATGATGCAAAGGGCAAAGGTCATTGGTAATATCGACTATTCGTAAAACGGATGTTTGCTGGGTTTTTACACATATTACAAATAATTTCTGAAAACCAGACTAATGAGACTGCTGTACTTTGCTAAGTACGTTGTTGCCAGCCAGAGGAATGGTGTACAATACAACAACGCTAGCTTAGATGCCTACGTTAAGTAATCGTGTCCTTGTAATCCGAGCCGACTTTACCGTTAAGCAAGTTAATTTACCGTTATTCTATTAAAGTTAAGTCACTTAACTTTAAGTGACTTAAGCCTTTATCTAGCTATAATTGAGTGGTTCACGTCGACCTTTTAACTAGTTAAGTGGATCTATATCTAGATAAAAGTTTGACGTGAATCAGGCTTATGCCCCTAGATCCACCGCTGATTAGGCATGAGGTTGACACCAGCAGCCAATGGTAGTCAGAGGGTCTTGGGTTGGAGTCAAACAAGTCAGGTTTTGTTTGGTATTGTTACAACATCATGACTAATATCATTATAGTGATGTAGATGGTACAGTACAGTTAAAGTACTATACTTGAAAAAGTGAAAATGAAAGAATGGTATGTACAGTAGTATTAGCAATGAATGAATGCCCTTCACACTCATCATACTGTAACCCATAAAATGTTTAGATATTACTTCCTAGTGTAATTATAGCTAGCATTTTGTCAAGACTTGGTGTCATCCAGGAGTTGGTTTAGATGAGGGTACTGTATGGTTAGAGGAAGTACAGTATAAGTGGATTGTGTATGAGGTTGTGATTGTGGTTTGTACAGTAGTAACAGTATACTGTACAATAGGTGGGTTTGGAGTTTAATATAAATGTAAGGGTGGGTATGAAACTGTAAGTTGCGGAAGTTTAAAGGGGGCATCATTTATTGTACTCATGAATTTGTTGTTTTCTGGGATCACTCTAACATATTTTTTTTGTTTAGCCAGTTGGCTAAAGTCAACAATTTTTTTTTAGCCAATTCATGACGAAATTCTTCCCCTTAGGGTGCGTTCGAGCCAGAAAAATATCCGTGCGATGTCCGTTATAGAACCGTGTATCGCTGTCAAAGGCCATTATCTCGACCATTAATCATGTTTTAATGACTCTACTGTCTGGCGGTCACATGAATTCAATTCAACACGCGCGAAAACCATAGGCCTGTCCAGTTTTACAAAAACAAATGCATTCGCTGACCTGTTGTTAATGTTATAGCATCATCTTCATCATTTCAACATGTCTGTGTGGACCTAACCTATGATACGTTACCTTCTCCCATTGTGGGGGGGGGGAGACAGAATACAAAGACAACTGGACGGCACCCGCCGAAACAGCGGTATTTACAAAGAAATAACTGCAAAGATCGAAGAAAAATTTAGGGGAAAGCTGACGGTGACACAGGTTTGGTTGGAGGGCTGTCTCTTATACACATCTAGATGTGTATAAGAGACAGATTTAGAACCGTCCATTATGCGGCAGGGTATTCATTTTGTATTATAACTATAAATACACATGCCTAAAGCATTACCACATTTAAACATGTATATTAACCGTTATAATAAACATGTTTAAATATTATATTAATATTCAAACATGTGCACTAACCGTTATAATACACATGTTTAAATACTATTATAATAAGCTTCACCGGGCACACAATGGTTCGGTCTTGGGATGCCAGTGGGGTAGGCGCTTCAGTTCAATCTTATTATTTTTGTTTGTTATGCATCGTCATTTTCCCGATTTTTAGGTGTAAACACAATTTGTATTTTCTTTTTAATTATACTGTGGTATAGACAAGAAGAACAATTCCCAGTAAACAAATATTTGCGGGAAATTCAGTAGTTGCTTCTGTTCGTTACGGACTGCCAATGCACTTTTTGACATCACACCACACCTAAACATGCGGTCCCGATTATAACTTCTTTTTATTGAAAATGTAGGAATATGTTAAGAGAGTATTAATTGTTGTAGCCTAGATTGTAGGCTTATTCATTACGTTTGCCGTGCCTGACCATTGTAAACGAAATACTGTATCTCTTGCTCACTCTAGATCACTAACCTTCCTAATCCTAGGCCTAACTACAATACACTTCGCAGGCCGCCGGCAGCAGGTAATAAATTTTAGGTAAGTAGCGAATCTGTCACCCGACCTGTCGCTTGTGACAGGGGGTTGGATGATCGATTACCCGAGTAGGTCGGGTAGCAGGAACGAATTCAGTAAGGGAAGATTTTCGGCATGTGAAGCTGTCTTTAGCCAAAATTTGACGAAAATTGTTAAAAATCATTAGCCAAAACTTGCTGACAGGACATGGGGTTCAACATGTTTGACAGTGGCGTCCGAACTAAGGGGCCGAATAGAGTCCTGCCGGGGCAGATCCGGGGGGGGGGGGTCCTACAGTATTTTTTCTCTCCCAAAAACGCCCAAAAATAAGAATCAATTACCTATTTCCTTTTCTTACTTTCCAATATGAGGTACCTGTACTTTGAAAGTTTGCTGAATTTGTAGGGCT